TGTGTGAGACAGTGACTGTCAACAGACTATCCAACCATGGATAACAGCACCTCGAGTCAGGAAATGAGAAATATCCATATGGAATTCCTTCTCCTGATCACTGGGGTGTATGTGAGCGTGTATCAGATGAGGACGGAGATGAACCTGACCCTTCCATGGTCGAATATCTCACTACACAGTCACTGAATGAGTGCCCCACTGTCTCTGGCCTTTACAATGAGTCAAAGCATAAAAATTGTCAATTCTTCTCAAAGGTTTGGCTATTCCCTAAACGGAAAGAAATGCATTGTGAAAAGATTTCTTTTAAGAAAGACACAGCAGTTTGAGTTGGATTGAATAAAAAAGGATTGTCACGGTTCTGCTGCTAGTCATTAATGAAAGAAGATGTGGCTTTGAAAAGTTAATGAGGTTTTATGACAACTGAGACTTACAAAGAATGGATTGGCTCAAGAGCCAATTAATCCCCTCGTTATCTCGTTCAATTAACTGTTATTTTGAGAATCTGGAACCTTCAGTGCCAGCGTTGGCTCTGACTGTAGCATCTGTATCCATCATTTGTCACACGCAGTTAAATTAAACACACAGTTGGCCATGTGTTCAGAATTGCCTCAATTTAATGACATAAATCGTTTGCGAATCAAACTCAATGAACAAAGGCGACAACATTTCTGTAACACCTTTAGCTAACTAAAATGGAAGAGGTTGTTGACAGCGCTATCAAGCAGTATTTGTTCGACTGCAATAACTTGCTCACTGAAGCTCAGTCTGGGTTCCACCAGGACCACTCAGCTCCTGACCTCATTACAGCCTTGGTCCAAACATGGACATGAGCTGAATTCCAGAGACGAGGTGAGAATTACAGCCCTTGACATCAAGGCCACATTTGACTGAGTGTGGCATCGAGGAGCCCCAGCAAAACTGGAATCAATGGGAATTAAAGGGAAAACTCTCCACTGGTTGGATTCATTGTCAGCACAATTAAGGATTGTTGTGACTCGCTCAGAGATAGTAGGAACGGCCGATGCTGGAGTCTGAGATAACACCGTGTGAAGCTGGAGGAACACAGCAGGCCAGGCAGCATCAGAGGAGCAGGAAAGCTGACGTTTCGGGTCAGGACCCTTCTTCAGAAATGTTGAAGGTCAATCATCTCAATCTCAGGACATCTCTGCTGGAGCTCCTCAGCGAGCGTCATTGGTCTACACATCTTCAGCTGTCATAAGGTCAGAAGTGGGGATGTTTGCTAATAACTGCACGATGTGCAACATCATTCATGACTCCTCAGATATCTAAACAGTCCATGTTCAAATGCAATAAAATCTGGGCAATACCTAGGTTTAGACTGACAATGGCAAGTGACCTTCACTCTGCACAAGTGTCAGGCAATAACTATCTCTACAAGAGATAGAGTCTAACTATCGCCCTTGACACTCAATGGTAATCCCATCACTAAGTGCCCCATGATCAACATCCTGAGGGTTGCCATTGACAAGAAACTGAACTGAACAAGCTGTGGCAATGAGAGCAGGTGAGAGGCTAGGAATCCTGCAACGAGTAACTGACCTCCTGGTTTTGCAGCGCATGTATATCAGCATCTTACATGGTTAATGCCGCATCCAAGACCTTCAACATTCACCCACTTCGCCACTGACGCTCAGTAGCAGCAGTGTGTACTATCTCTAAGATGCACTGCAGCAACTCACCAAGGCTCCTTACGTGGCACATTCCAAACTCACAACCGAAACCACCTAGAAGGACAAGGGCAGCAGATAAATGAGAACACCTGCCAGTTCCCATCCAAGCCACTCACCATCCTGGCTTGGAAATATATCGCCTTCCCTTCACTGTCACAGGATCAGAATTTTAGAACCCCCTTGCTAACAGCGTTGTCCATGTATCTACACCACAAGGATTACATTGGTCCAAGAAGACAGCTCTTCTAGAGGTGGGCAAGGCAATGGACAGATTTGAACATGACGAGAAGGATTTTAAAACTGAGATGTTGCCAGTCTCGAGTCAATGTAGGTCAGTGAGCACCGGGAAGTGATAGGTGAACAGGACTTTGTGTGAATTAGGAGATAGATATCAGAGTTTTGGATGAGGTCAGGTTTACAGGCCTCCTGAGGGTTTGATGGGTAAATATACCCATAATGTGTGGCCCTCATTCACAGGATTAGCACATCCCAAATGTTGGTCAGTACCCAACTTCCATGTTTGAGATTTCTCAACACCCAGATTGTTTGGCGTGGTTGTTAAGATTGGGAAGCTGAATGTTTGTAAGGCAGGTTGTGCGTTAACAAGATGTTTAATAAGTTATAATCCCCCCTTAATTGGTAACGTACTGCTGCCTAATGAGAAACTTGCTTTCTGCTCTGCAGAAGCTTAGAAGATGGAGTGAGATACTCCTGACAATGAGATGGGCCTCACCAGAACTCTCAGTTAGATGCTGTCACAATTTTTGCCATACCCCAGCTCACTCAGACCCCTGTAAGGGGTCACCCCAAGTAATAAAAGACATTTGACGCTTCCACCTAGAAATGACATTTGCTGCTAATGGTGGTCGGGTGTTTGATCTGTTTGGGCAACATTCCCTTATGTTTTCCTTCAATGAATGTATTAACTGTGGTAACTTAGCAGGGGGAGGAATTCTTTCATGTCACCTGGATCTAGGCTGTAAAGAATTTACTACTCTTCAGAGATAGGTACATGAAAAGCAATGAGAACAGCATGAGAATTGTTAGATCAGGTAGAATCTGAATCATCACGTGGTCACAGGTTGGAAAACAGTAAAATATCTGGAAAGTAACTGTCTCAGAGCATTAGAATAAAAAATGAAAATTGCTTCCACTCCATGATGAGAGACCCATCATCTTTGAAAGCAGGTCCCACGCCTTAATGAGCTGACCCATTTGCATCCCAAAACCAGTCCAGCTCGTCCCCGCCTCCCTAACCTGTCCTTCCTCCCACCTATCCCCTCCTCCCACCTCAAGCCCCACCCCCATCTCCTACCTACTAACCTCATCGCACCCCCTTGACCTGTCCGTCCTCCCTGGACTGACCTATCTCCTCCCTACCTCCCCACCTACACTCACCTTTACTGGCTCCATCCCCGCCTCTTTGACTGGTCTGTCTCCTCTCCACCTATCTTCTCCTCTATCCATCTTCTATCCGCCTCCCCCTCTCTCCCTATTTATTTCAGAACCCCCTTCCCCTCCCCCATTTCTGAAGAAGGGTCTAGGCCTGAAACGTCAGCCTTCCTGCTCCTATGATGCTGCTTGGCCTGCTGTGTTCATCCAGCTCTGCACCTTGTTGTCTTGGATTCTCCAGCATCTGCAGTTCCTACTATCTCTACATCTCAGTCTAGCCTCCTCCATGACCCCTTGTCAGTTTGGGTGGCTGCATTCCCAATCATGGCCAGCAAGTGGGGCATCCTGTTCCATGGGGTGAAAGCCGAGACCTTGAACAGTCATCAGCCTGGCCCCCATGAAACCTAAATGTGGCTCCCTGGGCAAGTGGAGCTGGGATCACATTTAGTTCTTCAGTTGCTGAGTAGGGGCTATTGTCTCTGCGTAAGATCCAGACCAAAGTGTAAGAACACTTGGACAATGGGCATTCCTTATAGCAGCACCAACAGCAACAACAACCCGCATTCATGTAGCACCTTTGACATAGTACAACAGGTTCATTATGTCCCTAAGGAGCATTATTAAATAAATATTTGACAAAGAGATATTGATGACAGATGAGCAAAAGTTTGGTCATCAAGGTAGTAGCCTTTCAGAACGGTCTTAACGGAGAAGGAAGGGAATGGGGAGACAGGGAGGGAATTACAGAGCTTGGGGTCTTAGCACTGTAAGGCATCATTGTCAGTGATGGACTGATTAAAATTGGGCATTCGTAAGTTGCCAGACTACTCGGAGTGCAGAGAGTGTGGGGCTAAAGTTGTAAACCAAAGGAAGTAGGGACCATGGATAGATTTGAACACAAGTTTGAATCGATGCCTCGGGAGAGTTTTCCCATTTTTTTTCTAAGCGTAAGTGTGAATACATTAAGTGGTGATGAACATGCCATCCTCACTGATGAGAAAAATCATCCCATGCCAGCCAATCATCTCACTCAGAGCTGACACATGAGCGAAGGCAAGTATCTCACCCAATCACAGGCCTTGGCACGAGCCAATCAGAGGCCAGCAGATTCTGGGTCCTAAAGTCCAATGGTTGAGGTTACTCCTCATGGAAATCCAGCAGCTCGTGTCTGGGTAAGCCTTTGGTTTCTTTTTTTTGTGGATGGGGAGAGGGATATCGAAGGAAAAGGCAGGGATCAGCTTTCAGAAGCCACCGCCATATCTACTATTTGTGTCTCTGACTGTACCTGGAGGGGCAACTGCAGGCCCCTTCCAACTTAGATGGCAGATTGCTCAGGTTGGGAAACAAGCCATCTTTCCCATCCACTGAGAAAGTAGGTGATTGGGAGATGCTGAGTTGAGGTGCTGAAGGTGACATTAATTGACTGATTAGCAGCCTTAATGGCTCATGTGTTGAGAAATCCCTAAAGCACCTTCTCACTCGGCTTTTAATTGCTGAGGCAGCGAGGAGTGGATGATGCTTTCTCCTGGGCCAATTCATCCTTTCATTTTCCCGTTTCTTGCCAATCCTCTCACCACCTCTCAGGGGGTGGGGTGGGGCGGTGGCGAGGGGTTGTACCCCACTCCAAATGCCAACAGCTTCTCAACGCAGGCCAGCATTCATTCAGATGATAGCTGCTCCACTCTCCATCTCAGACTGCAGACAATGAGCACAAATTGTCAGAGCAGTTACCTGCCAATTTATTAATCTCATAAGACAACTTGACTGTTCACGGTAATTGGTAATTGTTTCCCTTGACCCAATCCCCAATCTCTCCAGAATTCAATCAGTTCAAGTGGTTCCAAGACACATATTTAACCACCTGCTCATGTATAAAATCAGCATTTGTTACCTTGCAATCATTCTCACTGAGGCTGGGTTGATTTCACAATAAGGCTTTTCACTGGAAACTTTGCAGAATGTAAAATACTGCAAAGGTTGGAAATCTGAAATAAGAACAAAATATGCTGGAACCTCACAGCAGGTCAGTCCACATGTGTGGAAAGAAACTGAATTAATCTTTCAGGTTGATACCCTTTCATCAGAAATGAGAAAGATAGAATTGTGCATTTGCTTTTCAGATTGGCTCAAAAACTCTTCCACTTCATCCTTTCAGTAGCTTTTGATGGCTCTTCCGGTCTCAGAGGTTCTGCACATTCTTATGTAGGTTATCACTTCCAGATCTGAACCGAGCTGTCCTGGCCTTTAGAAAGTTTCCATTCAGATATCCTCTCCTATCCACAACACCGAACTAACACTAAACAAAGTCATGGATAAATGTCAGTAGGTCAACATGTTATGGTCTGGGAGCTGATCAGTGAAAGATACTACTAGAGCCAATCTTTACTCACTCTTACATTTATTTGCAGAGTAAAATATGACAAGCATATATCTCTGAACTCAACCTTTCTCCCCTTCCATACCCTCCAGTTTCATTTATCTTGTGCTATTATGAACTCAGCTGTGGTTATAACCAGACAAATCAAATCCCAAATTGATAACTGGCTTAGAACATAGAACATAGAACATTACAGCGCAGTACAGGCCCTACGGCCCTCGATGTTGCGCCGACCTGTGAAACCAATCTGAAGCCCATCTAACCTAAACTATTCTTGAGAACTAGTGCTTGAGAGATCACACTTTGTATATTTTTAGTTTTAACGAGTTGGTCTATCACTGAAACACAAACACAGAATGCTGATACTTTGTTTACCAATAAAACAAAAGGTTATTATGCAAAATAAATAAACATAAAATAGAAAAAATCAAGATATTAACATCTAACAGAAGTTTTGAGATTTAGGAATGCCTGGTAAAATACAATCCATTAATCCCATTAGCACTCCTTTACAGTATTCACCAGAGAGAATTCCCTTCTCATTCACATTTATAGGGCTTAACTTAATTGTGGCTTCAATATCTCTTCTTCAAAGTCTGATAACCTCTTCCTGGAGTGTTCATATAAGTAAGCTTAGACTTTCCCAGCTTTATATAGCCCTTCATTGTTTTAACCAAACACATCTGATCTGGAACTTTAGAACTAAATTCCATATACTAAAGTAATCTATTTCCTAATAATTCTGAACTATATCCCTTCTTTAGGAGCAACTGGTTTACACATCTGGCTTCAGCCAAGATTTTTGCGAAATTGCCAAACTGAAACCTAAAATCTTAACAAGCTGTGGGTATTCCCCTAAGCTAAAAAAAAACAAAATTTCCAAAATCTGTTTACTGAAAGCCTAAGACACTTCAATCACATTTACTTTGTTCAGTTGCAAACTCTCTCAAGGTGAACAATTTCCCTTAGCCTCCAAGACTATCTCTCTCAGACTGTGTTTTTTGAGAAGAAATCATCATAGCTACAGAAAATCTTACTAGTTAAACATTAAACCCTTTCTGACACACAGACCAGAACCCACATATTGCAAGGTGAAATCCAAACCCTGAAGTTAGTAACTCTAAAATATAGATAAATCATACATCTGACATCTCAATGTACTCAAATAAAACCCCATCTATAGTCTCCCATTTGTACATAACTAAACATAATGAAGATACAATTCTTATGAAAAGCATTCTAAAGTATACATTTTTCTGATTGTTTGCAACTCTGCCACTAATGATCCTTAAGTTGAATTCTTACTGTGAATTGTTTGTGATTTATTACTGCAATCTCAACATTTTGGATTTATTTGCTGTAATGGTAGTGCTTGCTTTTTATTATGTTAATGGGAGTATTTCTGATATATTAATGCCATTTTCTGTTTTTGATTTATTGCAGCAATCTCAGTGCTTGTGATTTATTACCATAATGCAAGAGATTTTAAACTGGATATTTAATGTAAGTGATTTATTACTCTGATTTTACATTTTGTGATATACAAACGTTATTTTGGTGTTTATCATATTCTGTAATCACAGTGATGTGTGTAATCTATTGATGAACCTTTGATGTTTGTCATTTATTACTGCAATTCTTAGTGTTTATGATTTATTACTGTGGTATTAATACTCAGCATTTATTGCAGGAATACGAGAGTTTGCATTTCTTACTGTAATTTTAGCATTTGCTATTTTTTACTGGATTGTTGGTGTTTATTTTTGCATCATCACAACACATGGCATTGAGAAGAACACTGAGAGACAGGAATAAATATGGACCAATCAGAATGCTTATGTTTCCAAGGTTACTGCCTTTTACCAACCCCCCCATGTTTCAGGGGGATTACACACAGTGGATTAGCAAATTATTCTCTTACTTTAAAACCATAAGATATAGGAGCAGAATTAGTCCATTCGGCCCATTGAGTCAGCTCCGCCATTCAATCATGACTGATATGTTTCTCAACCCCATTCTCCTGCCTTCTCCCCATATCTCTGTCTTAAATATACTTAATGAATTGGCCTCCACAGACCTCTGTGGAAAGGATTTCTATAGACTGACCACCTTCTGACTGAAGAAATTCCTCTTCACCTCAGTTCCAAAGGGTGGTCCTTTCCTCTGAGGCTGTGCCCTTTGGTCCTAGTCTTTCCTACTACTGGAAACATCTTCTCCATGTCCACTGTATCCAGGTCTCTCAGTATTCTATAAGCTTCAGTCAGAACCCCCTCATCCTTCTAAACTCTATTGAGGACAGACGTAGAATCCTCAACCAGTCCTCATACAACAGGCCCTTCATGCCTGGGATCATTCTTGTAAATATTTTCTGGACACCTTCCAATGCCAGCACATCCTTCCTTAGATACAAGGCCCAAAATTGCCCTCAATATTCCTAATGTGGTCTGGCCAGAGCCTTTTACAGCCTCAGCAGCACATCTCTGTTCTTGGATTCTAGCCTTTTTGAAAAGAATGCCAACATTGCATTTGCCTTCCTAACTGTCAACTGAACCTGCATGTTCACCTTAAGGGAAGCCTGAACTAGGACTCCCTAGTCCGTTTTTGCTTCAGATTTCTGAAGCTTTTCCAATTTAGAAAATAGTCTACATCTCTATTCTTCCTACCAACATGCGTAACCCTACGCTTTCCCACATTGTATTCCATATTCCACTTCTTTGTGCCCCCCCCCCGCAACGCCACAGCCTGTCCCCTTCTGAAACCTCCCTGCTTCCTCAATACTACTTGTTCCTCCATCTGCAAACTAAGCAACAATGCCCTAAGTTCCTTTGTACAGATCATTAATGTATAGTGCGAAAAATTGTGGTCCCAACATGGACCCCTGCAGACTCCCTGCTGTCATCCTGAAAAAGTCCCCTTTATCCCCATTGTCTGCCTGTTGCCAGTCAGCCAATCCTCTACCCATACCAGTACCTTGCTCCTAACACCATGGGCTCTCATCTTATTTAGCAGCGTCCTGCTCAGCACCTTGTCAAAGGCTTTCTGGAAACCCAAATAGATCATGTCCATTGGCTCTCCTTTGTCTAACTTGCTCATTACCTCCTCAAAGAATTCTAACAGGTTTGTCAGGCATAACCTTCCCATTTGAAATGGATTAAATGATATGGGTTAAAAGCTGAAACAGTCTTCTGAGTTGGATGATCAGCCATGATCATAATGAGCTGAGGAGCAGGTTCGAAGTGCCCAATGGTGTAATCCTGTTCTTATTTTATACGTTTCTAAGTTTCAACACTGTACAAAGTACACCAGATGTGATGTCACTAATGCTTTGTATAAGTGAAACATATTTTTGTATTCAATGCCCTCGGAGTAAACAATTATATTCGCTTTGCTAATTACTTGCTGTAGCTGCATAGGAACCTTTTGCAATTCCTGATCCAGCCTGCTCTGCACCTCAGAGCTCTGCAAACTCTTGTCATCCAATCAGGTATGCATCACCTCAAGAACCGGCCAATTTTCAGTCCAATCAATGCCGATGTTGACAGACTTACCAGGAGAAGAAAGGCCATGCAACCTGCCAATTGGACATGGACTTACTTCCCTGTACCAGTTTGTCTGCAGGCCCTTTGGTAGGTACATGTGAAATGCACAGTGACAGACTGTGCTGATCACAACACTAATTAGACGCAAAATGTGAGGAAACTTCTGACACATATAGAATCCTCAGCCAATTAAACTTGCTACTTGTACAGTAGAGCTCCAGTAATATGTCGTGATATCCCTTGGTTGCAATTTTCAGTGACTGCTGAAAGTTAACCCACACAATGCTGTTGATTTTGCTGTGTGGTTTACAGGGGCAGCAAGGTGGCTCAGTGGTTAGCACTGCTGCCCCACAGCACCAGGAACCCAGGTTCGATTTCAGCCTTGGGTGACTGTGTAGGGTTTGCACGTTCTCCCTGTGTCTCTGTGGGTTTCCTGCAGGTACTCTGGTTTTCTTCCATGGTCCAAAGATTTGCAAGTTAGGTGGATTGGCCATGTTAAAACTGCCCATTGTGTCCAGGGGTGTGCAGGCTAGGTGGATTAGCTATGGGAAATAGAGGAATAGGGTAAGGAGGTGAGTCTGGGTACAGCGCTCTTTGGAGGGTTGTTGCGTACTTGATGGGCTGAGCAGCCTGCTTCCATGTGTAGAAATTCTATGAATTGGGATATAAGTTCTAATCTGTTTAAGGAACATCACATAAGGTAAAGAGGTTCCGCTAAACTTGAATAAATCACTGGTTAGGCCTCAGCTGGAGCATTGTATAACACTATACAAACTATGAACAGCTTGGTCTCCTTATTGAGGGAAAGGTCGACTAGATTTGGAGACGGTCCAGACAAAGTTCACAAGACTGATTCCAGGTATGGATGGACTGTCTCATGGGTCAGGTTGAGTGAATTGGACCTGTACTCATTCAAAAATAGAAAAATGAGAGGCAACCTTGAAACGTGCAAGATTCTTATGGGACTTGATGCAGTAGATGCAGAAATATTTTCCCTTGTGGGTGAGACTAAGACCAGAGGGCATATTCTCAGAATATAGGGTTGCATATTTAAGACAAAGAAGAGGAAAAATTTCTTCTCTCAGAATGTATGGAATTCTTTACTACAGTGAAGCTCAGACATTAAGTATATTTAAGGCTGAGATAAATTTAATCAGGAAGGAAAACAAGGGTTATGGGGAAAAGGCAGAAGAGTGGAAGATTATCTGACGATTATCAGATCAATCATAATTTCATTGAATGGTAGAGCAGACTTGATGGGCAGAATGGCCTATTTCTGCTCCTAGTCTATTAGTTTTATCGTGTCTAGTTGTGAACTCTTCATTTTTGGGAGGACATCAGGGCATTGGAGAGGGCCCAGAGGAAATTTACTTGAGTAGGATCTGGAATGATGGACTTCAGTGATATGGAGAGAGGGCAGAAGTTGGCATCTTGCGCTGAGAAGGTTTGCAGGAGATTTAATAGAGCATTGAAAATTAAGATAAAGCAAAGAACTGTGAATACTGGAAATCTGAAACAAAAACAGGAATTGCTGGAGAAACTCAACGGGTTTGGCAGCATCTGTGGACAGAGAAACAGAATTAATGATTCAAGTCCGGTGACCCTTCTTCAAGCACAGTGTGGAGCTGGAGGAACACAGCAGGCCAGGCAGCATCAGAGGAGCAGGAAAGCTGACGTTTCGGGTCAGGACCCTTCTAACTTCCCGCCTCAATTCCCTCCCAGGCAGTGCATTCCACCACCCTCTGGGTGAAAACATTTTCCCCAAATCCTCACTAAACCTCCTGCATTACAATCTAAATTATGCCCCCTTGTTCTTGACCCTTCAACCAAGGGGAACAGCTGCTTCCTATCCACGTTTATAATCTTACACACCTCAATCAGGACCCTTCTCAGCTTTCTCTGCTGTAAAGAAAACAACCTGAGCTAATCCAGCTCTTCATCGCTGAAATGCTCCATCCCAGAAAACATCTTGGTGAATTTCCTCTGCACTCCCTCCAGTGCAATCACATTCTTCCCATAGTGTGGTGACCAGAACCGCGCACAGTATTCCAGCTGTGGCCAAACCAAAGTTCTGACCAACTTCAACATAACCTCCCTGCTCTTACACTCCATGCCTTGACTGATAAAGGCAAGTGTCCCGTACACATTCTTAATTTCCCTATTAATCTGTCCCGCAGCCTTCAGGGATCTGTGGATAAACTCCCTAAGATCCTTCTGTTCCCCTGAGTTTCCTTGTGTCCTGCCATTCCCTGAGTACAGGTATTTCTCCTATAATGGGATGATTGTGTTCTTATGTGACCTCACGTTATAGGGAAATCGCTATAGAAAATTGCTATACTGTACAGTAGAAGGTTCACATTATCCAAACACGTCCACTATTCATCAATCGTTTTACAGCCAATTTGTGTTAACGAAACACATGTTACAACAGAACTACCTGTACTCCCTTGTCTTGTTACTTCTTCCCAAGTGCATCACCTCACACTTATCAGGGTTAAATTCCATCTGGCCAACCTTTCTAAACTGTACTGTGACTTAAGAACTTCTTCCTTATGGTTGACTAGCTAGACTCAGCGAGAGGAGAATTAATTTGACAAAGACACAGGAGAAGAGTCAATAACACTGGATCTGCATTGACCATGAGATTGCAACTTCACAAGAGAACAATAATTATGAGACACATTACATGCAGAGAAATGGATACCAGCTGTGGCTGGCTTTCTTATGTAGGCATCTGAAGGTTATGAGTTCAACATCAGGGACTTGAGTACAAAATTCAGACCGTTACACCCCAGCGCCATTGCTGAGGGAGTGCTACACTTTTGGGGTGCAGACTGTCCCCTCAAGTGAGTTTGGCCACTATTTGGACAAACAGCAGAGGTGTTTGTCCCTGAATTCTTGGACAATATTCATCCATCAACCAACATCATTTTTAAAAAACTAGCTGGCCGATGGTTAGATCGCTGCAGGTTTTGGGATCTTGCTATGTAAAAATTAGTTGCTGTGTGACTCTAGATTACAACAGTGACCTCACTGCCAAATTAAAACTCTTAAAGGTGGTGTCCAAGTTCAGGATAGGTGATGTATAAATGTATTATTTGTGAACTGAAAGGCAGGTTTGGAACACCCCCCAAGGGGAGGCGATGGCCTAGTGGTACTATCGCTGGACTGTTAATCCAGAGACCTGGATAACATTCTGGAGACCCAGGTTCGAATCGCACCATGGCAGATGTTGGAATTTGAATTCAATAGATATCTGGAATTAAGAATCTAATGATGACCATGAATCCATTGCCGATTGTCGGAAAAACCCATCTGGTTCACTAATGTCCTTTAGGGAAGGAAACTGCCATCCTTACCTGGTCTGGCCTACATGTGACTCCAGACGCACAGCAAGGTGGGTGACTCTTAACTGCCCTCTGGGCAATTAGGGATGGGCAATAAATGCTGCCCGACCAGCGAAGCCCTCATCCCGTGAACGAGTGAAGGACCTGATACTGGTAATGATAAGTCTTGAAGCATATTAGGACTTGTTATGTCAGCAGAGCCTGATACATGTATGTCCTGTTTGATTTACAGATGTCAGATATTCTGTGATCTGGTAGTGAATAATACAGCTTGTGCTCACAAGGTCCTTGCAAGTGACAGCGAAATGACACCTTCGATGGCCAGACATATCAGTTCCTTTGTGACCTTACCAGCAACAGCAACATCAAACTGGAGCTTTGAACAAACCATGGGATTCCTGAGATATCCTTTAAACGACTTTCCTTTCCACATGTTTTATAAAAGTAAAAAGAAGTCTTCCATTTTTATAGCACTTTCATGACTGCAAGACGCTACTGAATGGCATTATAGCGAGGAAGGCACTTTTTAAAGTGTGGGAAACACAACAGCCAACATGTGCACAGCAAGCTCCCACAAACAGGAAAATAAACGTGGGCACTTTTTTTGTGTGTGTGTGACATTTGTTGAGGGATAAATATTGGCTGGAATGGAGTGGTGATGACCTAGTGGTATTATCATTGAACTGTTAATCCAGAGACCCAGGTAATGTCCTAGGGACCCGGCTTCAAATCCATGGCACATGGCTGACTTGGAATTCAGTAAAAATCTGGAATTAAGAGTTTAATGATGACTATGAATTCTTTCAGGAAGGAAACTGCCATCCTTACCTGGTCTGGCCTACATGTGACTCCAGACCCACAACAATGTAGTTGAGTCTTAACTGCCCTCTGGGCAATTAGGGATGGGCAATAAATGCTGGTTTTACCACAATGCCCTGGTCCTGTGAATGAATAAACAAAACCAGGGAGACACCTGTTCTTTTTCTCAAAATAGTAGCAATATATCTTTGAAATACGTGGCTCAGACACGAGAGGAGAAGTAGCCTCCTGCTGTGCTGCAGCCATTCTACATCCATCTGAGAAGGGACATAGACCCTCCTTTGATACCCCATGTGAAGGCAGCACCTTGGACAGTACCGTCTCCATTCAACTCCTGCCACAATGGCCAGGTGGCAGGAATGCCACCCAGTTACAAGTGACTCTGTCTCTGCCACTGCTAGTCGCCGGAGATCTACTGACCCTGTGCCACATTCGTCTGTCCTGCCCCATCTTCACACACCCACTGCAGCTAATCTGCAACTGCTCTGTGACATCCATCATCCAACTGTGCCTCAGTTGATCCCTCTTTCTGTTGCCATCCACATTGTCCTCTAGAAGTCCTCCTGCTGTGGGTTGACCCACGTTGCCATTACAGAGGGAGTTTCAGGATTTGGACCCAGTGACACTGAAGGAGTGGCGATATATTTCCAAGTCAGGACAGTGAGTGGCTTGGAGGGAAACTTGCAGAGGGTGGTGTTCCCATGTATCTGCTGCCCTTGTCTTCCTAAACGGAAGTGGTTGTGGGTTTGGAAGGTGCTGCCTGAGGATCTTTGGTGAATTTCTGCAGTGCATCTTGTAGATAGTACACACTGCTGCTACTGAGCATCAGCGGTGGAGGGAGTGAACTCTGAACCATGAGGTTCCCCATTCACTGGCCAACTCTCTCTGAACCAAATCCACAAGCGCTGTTTGACTGCAGGAAGCATCACAGTTCTCTGGGAGGGATGAGAGGCAGAAAATGTCCAGGACTTTGTTTTTACTTATTGCCACCAATTAAGAGTGAGGCATGTCGATTCTGACCTTACTTCAGCCTATTCAGCCCCACAGCTTAGATCATGAGCCAGCTCACAGACCAGGAACAGAACTCAATGACTTTCTGTTGCTCATACAACATTTTACAGAGCATTTACAAACAAAACCATGCTATTCAACCAGTCCATATTGCTGTTTATGTCTCACTCAAGCCTTCTTCCATCCTGCTTCAACTAATTTTATCAGCATTATCCTCTATTCCCTTCTCCCTGTTGAATTTATCCAGTGTCTCCTTAAATTCATCCATACACTTTGCTTCAGCCACTCTGGAGTCTCATTTTCTCGTCACTTTTGGAATAAACAGGATCTTTCTGAATTCCCTATTGAATTTCTGTTTATAAAAAAAAATTAACCCCTTGAGAAACATTATGATACACCACTGGGGCAGGTAGGACTTGAAACCAGGCCTTTTGGGCCAGAGGTCAGGACACTACCACTGCACCAAAAGACCCCTATCCTGTTTGAGTGCTTGATGACTATCTTATAATAGCCTCCAGTTACAGTCTTCCCCACAAGAGGGACCATTTTCTGCGTATCCACTCGATTAAAACCTTTCATCATTGGAAAGGCTCCTATTAGATGACACTACACAAGAGACAAGAAGCCCAGTCTGTGCATTCTCTCCTGACAAACATATCCCTCCTGTCTGATACCATCATTATGAATCATTTCTTCCTCTGCTCCAGCCAATCCAGAGCTGTTTTACAATATGAGGCAATATGACACTTATTGTCTCTCTGAGTCACTCCGGGGAGAGGCTCAGTTTTGGGAGAGTCCTAGACAATGGTATTAATGGGGAAAAAAAGCAGAGAATGCTGGAGAAATTCAGCAGGTCTGGCAGCATCAGTGGAGAGAGAAACAAGGAAAATGTTTCAAGTCCAGTCTAACTCTTCTTCAGAACTCAATTCATTTACACCCATTTTACATCACTATCCCTCCTTTACCACCTTTCGCACTCCCTCTGTCTTTTGCTCTGGGCACCCTCACCCTGTTCCACTCACTTCTCCCCACCTCCCATCAACTGCGTAAACTGCCATTTTCCAGTCCCTCTCAGTTCTGAAGAAGGGTCATATCAGACTTGAAATGTTGACTCTGTTTCTCTCTCCACAGATGCTGCCAGACCTGTTGAGTTTCTCCAGCACTTCGAGTTTGTTTCAGATTTCCAGCATCCGCAGTATTTTGCTTTAATCTGGGCTTAAATAGGAACCACATGGATACAAGCAATGACAAATAGGCAAACACATTTGATTCCATTCGGCCTATTTGTCCATTGTGATCCCTGGTCCCAATCACAAACAGCTGGAAGAGATGAGAGATCAGATTATTAAAAGAAAATCCATTTGGTACAGAGGGACACGGATACTAGGCAGAAGATTGGCAGTAGGTCATGAGACCAATGCAGACACAATGGGCTGAATGGCCTCATTCTGCATTGTAAAGAACATAGAAGAGCACAGGCCCTTCGGCCCACAATGTTGTGCTAACCTGTTATCCTACTCTAAGATCAAACTAACCTGCTTACCCTTCATTTTACTATCATCCATGTAAAAGTTCTGCGATGTTTGTAAAATCTAGGAAGTTCCTCTCTAACCTCTCTGACCAGGTCCAGCAGATCTGACTGCTCCCAAATTCCATACCAAGCACTTCCTAATACATGAGTGTTCTCAGACTCTGCCTTAATGTCAGACAGCACCTAATGGCCCTCTCGGTGACAGGAACAGGCCAAATTCTTGCTTCATTTGGAGTTCAATATATATTTTGGCTTCCTGATTGACTGATAGGTCCACGAAACACTGTCTAAGACCAAGCCCACTTTCCTACCTTAATCTGGTCCTTGCATACTGCATGACTATAATTTGACATACATTTCGCTCAACTGCATCTTTCAGATATCCCAATGCCTTGCAGAGACCCACAAAATGCCTCCTTTCTATTCAGCCCCCTCCTCCCCACACTGTTCGCCAGTAAACGCTGCATTTGAAATATACACCATTGAGGTGTAATGATCTGAAACAGAGCTCCCTGACTGCTGCAAGCACTATTTGTAACAGCTGCTGCAGTCAGAGGGGACTATCTATGAACTCCAAAGGAACATCATCTTCTAGTAGCAAATATATTACAAGAAATTTAATTAGTCGTAAGTGAGGTAGCCTGAATTAGAAGCTCCACTGACATTAATCACAGCATCAGCATCTGCTCTCATCCTTTTCCCACAGGAGCTGTGCAGTTAGTTCCGCCCTACACATCAAACTTATTTGTTTCTTTTTGTGAAGAAGATAGTCTGTTAAACATTTTGAATGCAACTTTTGTTCAACCCTCAGTCTCCTCATTGTGTAATGCACGAGCCTAATGACAGAGTGTGAAATCCTTTCATATCATACAACACCTTCAGCCAACCCTCAAATCTTCTCCACCAAGTCCACCCAAACATTTCTCCCAATTTGACCCCCCCATGTTAATGCCTCAGACTTGATGCAACCCCAGAGTGAAAGTTTAGGGGAGATGAGAGTTGTTGAGTTGGTGGGGGAGGGAATCATCAATGATCAAGTTGTTTGTGGGTTGGGAACATTGTTGGAGGCAGGTTTCAAATAAAAAAGAACATTGACCTGTTCGTTAACCCTTTTTTTCCAGCAATTGGGCCTCAGAAAGCAGTCCACTAGGCCATGCCCAATGACATAAGAAAGCATTTAAAGGAGACTTACAGCTTTCGGAAATCAAAACCAAACTCCACAGTAGACATCGCTGCTTCAGATCTTGCTGGCTTAAAAATCTCGTCATGCCAGAGGTCAGGACCCCTAGTTTTAGAAACTCCACTTCATACTCTTTCCCTTCCGTCAATGTGATAATTGCCATGGTTACCAATCAATCATGACACAGCATTAGATGGTGTTTAGTCATTTAGAACACAAGAATTAGGAGCAAGAATAGGTCATTCAGCCCCTCGAGGCTGCTCCACCATTTAATACCATCATGGCTGATCTCATCTTGGCCTTAGCTCCTTTTGCCTGCCCTCTCTGCATAAGCCATTACTAGTTAAAAATCTGTTGATCTCCTCCTTAAAATGAATCAGTGTTCCAGCATCCATCGCACTGTGGGGCACTGAATTCTATCTGCAATTCATGACCCTTTGAGAGAAGTAAGTTCTCCTCATCGCTGTTTTAAACCTGCCACTCCCTTATCCTAAAATGATGACCTCTCACTCTCGGTTGCCCTGCACTAGGGAACAGTCTCTGTATGTTTACTTTGTCAAACTCCTTTGGCATTTTACAGCCTTCATTTGACTGTTTGCAGCATCATACCATCACCTCCACACTAGCTTACCAAACTAATCATGCCATTCCCGACGTGCATATTAATCACCTGGTTTTTATGGTCAATGTTTCAACATATTGGAACACCCTTTGTAATGGCACTGAGGGATTATCTACACAATGTGGGCTGTAACGGTTCAAGATGCAGACTCACCATCAACTGGTTTTTAATTCATTCACAGAATCTAGGTGCAGAGGAGATCGACCAGGATGGTGCCTG